GTTCAATTTAAGACAAGTTCAACAAAACAAAATAATTTCCAAATTTGCTGCATTCTTTACTCTAAATAAACCATTCTGAGTGAAATTCAGAAGGGAACACGGTACACGAATATTCTTCTTCAACCAAACAGTATAAGAAAGTAACACCTATATGCTGAATATTATAATGTTATTATTATGTGCACAATGCTAAAAATTTGCTTTTGATGTTTTGGATACTCACGTGCATAGTTTGTCTACGTTTTATAGCAAATCATAACTACAAGAAAATATGCTTAGTATATTGACAAAAACCATTTAAAAAGGTTAGCTTATGACCTACATTTTCAAGTTTAAATGTGGGCAACGCGGTCCTCCTAGCCGCTAGCGTCTTGTTCATTTGTTACGCTTACCTTACGTCCTTTGTATACGAAAAAAAAGGGTTTTAGTAGGAACGATCGAAAAAATAGACTATAAAATTACAGTGCTACTTATAATCGAATTGAAGGCTGTACGAACCATAAACTTAAAGTGATAATGCCAACAGTATTGCTTGTTATTGCTATACGTCTATAAAGTTACGTATATTCTACTGCTAGGCCGTCTTGCCGAGGTCAACCTGTAGTATATTAGTTGGGCGACATTAATATGAACGTGTCCCTAACACACAATTAAAGGCATAGATATAGATGGTCATGGATATCGACCAAAATGTATATGGTCCTCTAATCTCCCTCCCTTCATCTTAATAATCCTTAACGCTAACGCATAATTAGGTACACAAGGTGTGTTAGAAATAGAGAAGGATCCTACGTCAGATTTCAATTTTATACAAAAATATAGGGAAATATTCTTATATAATATTTTTCCTCTATGCCCAAGTGCCGTACGCGGTAATCTCCTTGTATAACTCGAGTGCGATTTTTCTGTTTGGAGGGACGAATATATTTTTTGGGGCCAACATTCCGGTTGTCCGCGCGACCCTGTGCCAATTTTTTGTAGAACTTTGAATACTATACAAACACAATCAATCTAACTAAGTTTGTTTCTGAGGTACAGGGTGAAAACGAAAAATTTGACTTTTTGAGATGTTATCACTACCCATGTAAGTAAAGAAAGGTAAAACTACCTATTTTAGATATTTTTACGTATACAATCCAGTGGCGTAGTAAAAAAAATGTTGGAGCACAGTTTCTGAGATTTGACCCAAAGTTGGTATATTTTAAACGCAACACCCTGTATGTTTTAACGTATGGGAGTAGCTTTTTACAATTTGCTTATATTTTACTCACGCTGGTGCGAACCAGTGTTGATTAACCTCATAACTACATATTAGTCGTTTTCATTGCTTTTTAATATTATATTCGATTTAAACAATATTTTTTCGAAAACTACCCGAGATCTCGAAAATACCGAGATCTCGAATTTGTGATCTCGACTTGAGATTGCATTCACTAGTCAAATCTCAGAAACTGGTGGGTCAAAAATTGTTTTGACCACGTCACTGGTTGCTACGTAAAAATATCTAAAGTAGGCAATGTTTACCTTTTTTCTATCTTACATGGGTAATAGTAAGATATCGTAACATACCAGAAACAAAGTCAAACTTTTTGACTTGTATCTCAGAAACAAACGTAGCTACTTAGATTCATTATGTTTGTGGTATTAAAATTTGCAAAAGTAAAACAAAAACACCAATAGACTAGAATTTAGTATATTGAAAGACAAGTGTTACAATGCGAGCTATTGTAATACGACTATCTTGTGGCACGAGTGGCGACGCGAAGCGTAGCCACGAGTGTCCGCAAGATAGGAGTATTACAATAAAGCATTGTAACACGCGTTTTTCATACTATTTTTTCTATTTCGGTGCTTTAATTTAATTAAAAAAATCATTATCAGAAACTATAGGGAACATTAGAACTAACATGTTTTATGTTGGGAACACTTTTTATGCCGTTAAGTTTTAGGTTGGCAGCGTAGTAAGACTGACATTTTGAAGTTCAAACATGGAAGTACCCAACGAAGTACCTACTTGTACTAACTAGTAACTGCCAACTTAAGAGATGAGTTACCAAAAAAACGACTATAATCACTGTCTTTGTACAACTGTTTTTGGCCGAAAACAGTTGTACAAAATCATCATTGTGACACCGAAATAGAAAATAATATATTGAAACTTCGAACGCATTTATTGGTTTATTGGTGTTTTTGATTTACTTTTGCAAGTTCAACATCCAAAAGTAGTTCCATTGCTTCCTGTGGTATTAAAAGTTGCACAAAAAAGTGGCACAGTGTCGCAAAAACAGCAAATCTCTACCTAAACAGCTGAGATACACTGCAGTCTCAAAACAAAATAGGACACACTGTCCGGTACTACTGTTACAATATAGCTTGTAGAATATTTAATTTTTTTCTACAAAAAAGTGGTGCCATTTGACCGTTGCGAGAGCTTCAAAATTATACTTAACACTAGATGTTGATGTACAAGAATATAACAATTCGAAGTACCTACATATATTATCAAATTTAAAGGGATGATTTAGCCACTCGCGCGAGTGTGTTGGATTTATTATTCATTTTGCAATACATTGTTGTCTGCGTATCTGATGAATCTTTATTAAAAATCTGTCGTTAGTAGAGTTATCTAGGTATACCTACCTAAAATGATCTCTTGAACAAGTGGTGATTGTTTTGAATCAGCATTTTATTCAAAACCATTGTAGCAATTTCGTTTGTTGTAATAAGTTGGTGATTGAATGCCTTTAGCTTCGAGAATCCTTGCCGGATTCTTATTTTTTTGTACAAGCGAAGAAATGTGTGTTAAAATGGTGTCTGACGCAGGTCGCGATTACGTATTAATGAATGTCAATCTTTGTGCCTTTACACTTTAGACTTAAGAATTCAAGGCCTGTGAGCTGCTAAGTTGGCTTCTCTGTTAAAATATTTGCTTTTGATTTCTTCGTTATATTTCTGCCGTCGCTGTTGTAGTAGCATGTTGGATGATGACTTTTTAAGATAAGAGATAAGAGCGATTAAGTGGGATGTGGTGGTTGGTGTTAGTTTGTATTGAAACGTTTCGTTGTTGTCCTGGTTGATAGCGAAGGAAAGCAAGTAGGGTGCGGTCGATGGTACATGAGAATGTAGGGATTTCTATCCCGAATGCCCTGCCAGCTGACGCTGACGCAGCTCAGCTCGCCGAAGACGAATTAGCTGCCAGACAGCAAAGTCCGCTTCTGCGGTATTACTAGTATAACACGACAACTCGAGCGGTCGCCATCCGCAATAAGCGCACCGTCGTCGTCGTCGTCGTCGTCGCCATCGTTACCGACGATCTAGTGTTAGGGGCAAAAGGTACGACATTTGTTTATTGTAATAAATTAGTATAGAAGTTAGCCGATGACTCTACTTCTCTTATACGCCTACTCGTTACATATTTAGACCGACCGTCAGTGTCTTTCATTTAGCAAAGGTCGTAGTTAGGTTAAATTTATTTGCTCCCAGTACGGGGCCTTATAAATCAGGAGGAGGCTCATCGTCATTTTTATTTTAAAGAAGGTCGCCGTAACCCAGATACCTATCGACGGATTTTATTGGTATTGTCACCGATGAGTTTAGGTCTTTGTAGGTTATCTGTAACTGCGATATTTTTAGATCTATACCTTGTAATACGCGTTATGACATTTTTCTTTTGCTCGTTAATGACGCGCCGATGTTTAAAAAACACCACGTGATACACGGCTTTGCTTTTTCAGAAGAGCGTGATCGTGCGCCTTTTGAGTTTTGCGAATCAAATGACTCACGGGATTTCTTCTTGTAGGGAAATTATTGCAATCACGCTTGCACAACAAACTTGTTGTTATATTTTCGGGGTGGGATATCGATTTTGGAGGGCGAGCGTCTCGTGTATGAGTGCCTGTTACCTTGGAAGGTGTGCACTTTGCGAAACGCACGAGGAGATCGTCTCGACTAATTGTTTTGTTTGTTATAATTTGTAACACAATAATGATAAATGTCAAATTGTAGTAATGAATTTTGATGGCCAAGATCGCTTCAAGTACGTCTCAAACAATTGAATTGCGGATTTTGTTCGGGCAGCTTTTTGTCATTCGATTGCGTAAACTCTCCTTGAGGCAGAGGTACTCCGCCTCTCTCCACTTAGCAGGATAGCAGAAAACTTGAGCCGATCTCGGGGTGCGATTATCGTGCTGGCTGCAGGGGCAGGATGTAAAAATACGAAAATCAGGAAAAAGAGGTTAAAAACCGCAGATATGTATTGTTGCTTTTGGTCCGGTCAACACAACCAATATCGTTGTTCTTGCGGTCTGGCACGTTTATAATTAATTAAATCGGAAATCCTGATTCTTCGGTTAACAAAAAAAAATCTCGCGTATATATCATTTACGCCGATAGCTTATCGGATTAGGTATAATTATTAAACTAATATTAGTCGAAGTGTAGGTTCTTAAGAAATAAAGGTAGGGACTATACTTGTAATCGGGCCGGAATATTTCGCCCTGTTTGCTTAAGTTTGGTAACGTTTGAAAATCCTTGAGGATTAGATAACGCGCGCGGTTACTTAAGTAAAGTTTCATTTAGGACAGATTAAGGAAGCCTCTTATGTAAGGCGTCGAAATTGACCTCGCTCGCGATGACGCGAGTCGCGCAAAACACTTTTGCCTCGCGCTTATCAGTCTCCTTCTGCTAAAGGCGACGTTGCGGTGGCCATAAGCGACACAGGAAGCGGGTCAAGGAGAAGCTCGGGCCAAAAGTCAACTAGCACAATTCATTGTGCTTATTGATTACAAGAAGTTCATTATCATACAATTGACTTTACAAAAAAAAGACTCGGTGCCAAACGTCAAAGAATTCTTTGCGTTACGTTCGTATTGATTCGCCTCGCCCAGGTAAAGCAGGCCCCCGACCATCGGGTTGCCATGTCAACTTGCCATCCGTCTTGATTTTCAACAAAACGTCAAAAGGTGTAAGAAAGAATTAATAAATAGGTATCGTTTTTCCAGGTGGACGGGCTAGCATGTCCGTTCCGTCGATGGTGCATCGATCAGGAGATTCTTTTGTTGTGCGCAGCGTCGTAAGTGGTGACGCGCTGTTTGGTACAGGCGACGCAGTAGAGGACGTCGAGGCTAGTGACGAATTATTAGAATACTGTGACGATAAGGATTTGCCGGAGTGTAAAATTAGAAGAAACTATTCGTGCGGTAGTTGCGATTATTTCACGCAAAATCCGAGACAGTATTTGTACCATTTGCGGGACGATCACAATGAGAAGGTAAGAATCTACGAGTGTCCGAATTGTATATACGCGTCGAAGCACTTTCAAAAGCTTCTGCGTCACTCGAAGATGGTGCACGGGAGTACGGAGGGCGTAGAGGTCCCAGAATTCGCGCGGTTTAAAAACAAAAAACGTAAGTCTCCCGATGATGGCGACGAGATGACGGAGGAATCTTTGGAAGACGGCGAAGAGGAAGACGGTGAGAAGGTGGCAAGTTTTAAGTGCTCTCTGTGCGCGTTTGTCGCTCGCAATCAACCTCAATTGAATAAGCACGAACGTGAAGAACACATCAAAACCACCTTTTTTCGATGCATTAAATGTACGTACGTGACGCACCTTAAGGCGCGCTTTACGAAGCACGTCAAGTACCATTCTATGCCGATGATCAAGTGCGATATGTGCGACTTCCGTACACCTTACAAGTGGAATCTGGATCGTCATTGCAAGAATCACAACGGACGTGGTGCTTTTCGGTGTTCGGCCTGCAACTTTACCGCCGATATCAAACAGAGTTTGACCGTGCACGAGATGAATCATCACGTTCCACCAGTGGGACAGGCGGCGGGTCTTGGTGTGGGACGACGTCGCAATAAGGTGGGGGCCAGCGACTCCGTCGAAGCCGAGGAGGTAAACCAGGTACGTGCGCGATACTGTTGTTATCACCCATTGTGTACATTCGCGCGTGATAAGACCACGCCGATCTTTGCCTTGGGCGTACCCTTACTTGTTACTTCTTATGTTCGTTCGTTACTTGGTAACAAGTGATTTTTATTGCCATGCCCTTTGAACACTTAACACGTAAGAATTAATCTTAATTATTGTTAATAACGGCGACGTTTTCTTTTTGCGTGCAGAATCGTTTGCACCTCCCGATGTTATGTTTATTCCGAAGGCAAAGAACATTTTGTGCTTAATCACTGATAAAATACACGGAAACGATAAGAAAATTCCAACCGCTCGTATTTATTGGCGTTAAAGTGTTATCGCTCAGTTTTTTTTTTCCTTTTTTGCGCGTGTTTTAATGACCTGTAAATGCATAGATTTTCCGTTTTCGCGCTCAATTAAATAGCCGTCAGCGCGTTAAAAGAGAATTGCAATTGACACGCGGCGGTCCAGGGAATCGAGGTGGTACCTACCTTACCTATTTCTTAATCTAAAGCAGTGGTATATATAGCAGTAAATTTTTATAACCATTGAAAATTTGATAACGTTCCACATCTTCAAGATAATTTCCAAGTTGCGATAAGAATTGGAAATAAATTGGAGTTTGCCCCATAAAATGAAATAGTCTTCCGTACGTTCGGTACACGTTTCGTAATTGAATAATTTTTTGTCGGAAAATAGGTGTACTATGTGACTATGTCAGTCAATTAACGCGCGAATGCTAACAATCATTATAAATCAAGGTCTCGAATATTTCCGCTTCTCATCATCACCGTGCGAACGCTTTTTGTTAGCCACATTTGCAAATTAATAAACATATTTTTGTAATATTATTTTTACATACGCTAACGTCATAAGTGCTATTACAGCAGTCGCCGTCCGATCCAGATCCGTGCGTAGCCGCTGCCGTGGACAGTAATAAAAAACTAACAGACCAGAAGTTAAAAATATCCGCCAAGAAGACGAAATTTGCCAATAATCAAAATCGCGACTACGGCTCCGACTTTATACATCCTGACGACATTATTCATCACGCAAATGGTAACATTTACATTAAAACAAAATGCAAATTGTGTAATTACAAAACGGCGTGGGATGGGGAAATGGCCAAACACGAGCAGAAAGTCCACAACATCGTAAGACCAGGAGCTGCCAAAAAGGCTGTTAAGAAACCGGCGCGACCCATACCGAATTTGATACCGATACCGACTCAAACTTCGGTTATTAAATTGAAATCTGAAAAACCACCACCCGAACCGGTAATGAGCCAGAAGGACATCAACGATATTTGTGCAAAGTCCGCTAACAGTGCGCTACGCGATTTCGCATCGTTATTCGGTAGTGAAGACGTGTTCAAAACGAACGTGAAAAGGGATCCCGAAATGCCAGAGCTTTTACCGGCGGTACCCCTCTATACGTACACACCAAAGGACAAGGAAGTGAGCATCTTCAAGGAGAAAAATGCCTCATTCTTCGATAAACTTAAGGAAAAACTTCTTAATGGCGCGGGCGAAGCCTACAATCTAACCTGTCAGTATTGCGGACACGAAAGTAAGTGCCTATCCGAGTCGTCGTCTCATCAAAAAAGTTGCGGCAAAGAGCAAAGCCACGCGCAGTCACTAACGCGAGTACACAACATAAGCTCCAGTCGATGTCAACACTGTCGCCAGCGATGTAAGTCCAGCACTGACCTCTACCATCACCTTAAAACATGCCCGGAAGCATTGAAAGTTTTGAACCACATGGAAATCGACGAACCACAGCCGAAAATTGAAATTGTACCCGAACGTAGTTCTCCATCGATCACCGAACAACCTCATCCGATGGAAAATAAAGTTTTCGTTTGGAACAACATTGTGGCCCCACTAGAGATCGATGAGGAAGACCACCAATATGACTACCTGGATGACAAACAGGAAGACAACGTATCGCTCGACCTCTCGGTCCGTACCCAATCTCCTGGAAGCGAAAATAGTTATCTGGGCGCCGAACAACCCCAACCAAGTGTAGCGGTCAATAACGACAAGGTACCGACGCACGGTAACGACATCAGTGTCGCGCAGGTGGCACAACACAAACGTGTCTTCAAATGCCCCCATTGCTCTTTCTGGGCGTCCACCGCGTCCCGATTCCACGTCCACATTGTGGGGCACTTAAACAAAAAGCCGTTCGAGTGCTCCCTGTGCGCGTACAGATCGAATTGGCGCTGGGATATCACGAAGCATATCAAACTAAAATCGGTGAGAGACCCCGCGCATGAAAAAGCAAAAGTCTTGATGACCGACGAAACGGGCCGTCGTAATTACACCAAGTACAACAAATACCTAACCGAAATTCCGATAATGGGCGACCAAAATGAAACGAGCGGTGGCGCTGGCACGCGACCAAAGGTACACGACACCCTCGACAACTCGCTAAGCCAGCGGCCCATCCTACCCAAACCCGAGTTACCGAAGCTGTCGAGGGCGCCTACCAGCGGCGATTTCAGTCCACTTCTGCGTTCTCCCTTAAGACCGCCGCCGCCGCTTAAGGCCGCCGATGAGTCTTTCTTTGCGAAAATGTCAGAGAAGCGACGCAACACGCCTGAAAATAAGAAAACAATTTGGAAATGCAAAATGTGCAACTTTAGGTGAGTAGTATAATTTTCCATTAGATAATTATTATAGTCTCCTGTCATTAGGGATGCATCCCACGAAAAACTATTAACTCACGTAAAGGGACATTACCAACATGACAATCAGATGAGTCAAACAAACGGCAGCGGTTTGGGAATGCAAGCAGTTGATGATGAGGCAAGTGATAGTAGAAATCGGTCACATGCGCCTTTCCGGTGTGGTCACTGTCATCAGGTATCGAACTGGAAGCATGTCATTCAGGTATACTAACACGCTTGTGCTGCTTTTACTTACAACCCCGTTGCTCCGCATGGTGTGTCAATGTCTTGTCTCCAATATCTGTGTTTTCTAACATATACACGTGCGTGTCCTTCAAAAACTTGTTATTTATCAACAGCAATACGCGCAGAATGATCATTGTAATGAAATTTTTTTGCCACTTTATGGGCACACATACATCATACTCGATTTGCGTAATTCCTCTTTTCTTTTGGTTAATTAATGTTGTCAAATATGGACAGTGGCAGGTTTAACTTGTCTGATTCAAACTGTATTCTGGCCCGACCACGATAAATATGAGTTGTTCGCATACCCCACAGAGATCCAAACAATATTACCTATACTAGGTATATAAAAAGGTACTGGCAGGTTTTTGACTCTGTAATGCTCTTTCTTTAAGAAATATTGGTCAGGCCAGGTGGATCTTGCTTGGTTAAGACCAGCCGACTTAACCAAACCTGGAGTATTGGATCTGGAGGTTCTGCCACTGGTATGAAAAGGAGTTGACGAATGATGTACCTATCACTTATTTATTATTATATTAGTTGACTTAATAATTATATCTTCACATCATCACATTATACTAAAGCCTTATTCATTGATTTGACTTTGGGATGGCAGAACCTGTATCTATCTTTGTTGTTGCAGTTAATTTTTATGTTTGCATTTTTCTTTTAAGTGCTTATAATGCAATTCAATTATAATATTTGGTTATTACCTTCGAATAGTACAAAAAAAGTCACTTTTTTTATTATAAACAGGATTATGCCATGTTGCTCTATTTATGTACGTTTCATTGTCGTATGCAGAACATATTCAAATTATGTAAAGTTTTGGAGTTGACACCGCGTGTACCAGTGAAGAATGAAAGGATATTATATACCTAGTTAATTGTAGAAAACGGTTTCGGTTTGTACAAAGTTGTTCTTTTTCAGAATAAAACCGTCATTCAATATCGTAAAGAATGTTTATTTAATGATTAGATGTGAGTAACGGGGCTCTTTGCATGAGGCTTTCATTCTTGATATCTCAACAATTTCCTGAAACTATATTGCACAATAATTACTAATAACACTATATAACTATGCTATTTGCTTGTTTAATATCCCTAACTCATTTTACTGGCAACGTAAACATTTTGGCATTGGTAAAACGATTCAAAACCTAATATCGATACTTTTAACACTATTTCTTGAGCTTAAAGATACCTGAAAATTGGGAATTCGTGATCTTAAATTTGCCTCTATGTGATATACTTAATTTGTAGACCTTTGTGGGTAGGTAACATTTGTAATTTTTACAGCGTCATTGCCGCTTGAAGCATAGTGGTGACATACGTGTTGTAATCGGCAGTAAGAATGGACCGGAACGTGTCGAAATGGAGGAGCAATTAGATGAACCGGATCATGTGGATCTTCCTCAAGTGGGCACTTTCAAATGTAAACAGTGCCCATTTTCAAACAATGACAATGACGAGTTCGAAATCCACCTAAATAGTCATATACCAAAAGCTAACAGCATCATGAAGTGTTACTTTTGCCCTTTCTTCGTAACACAAAAGGAAGAACTACTCGGTCACCTACATCTCCACGGAATAACTGATCCGGAAGATTACATGTTAAAAATGTTGGAGAAGAGTTATCCCGACTCTGAACAAAGTAAACGATACAAATGTATGACGTGTCCGTACGTGACAAACAGTAAATCTCAATTTCTATACCACAAACAATTCCACAAACCGAGAGGTGGTCAATACACTTGCACTCACTGCAGCTATAATGTAAGCAAGCGCCATCTACTACATCAACATCTAAAAGTGCATGGAATTAATGTGACATCTCAAAAGCAGAACGGCGACGTGATCGATTTAGACGAATTTCCAGATGAAACTGAAGAGACCCCGGCATTGAATACAAATTTCGACTCTCAAAATTTCGCAGACATTCCTCTGGTATGGGTATCGAAGGGCGATAAGTTTTCTAAAATGTTCAAGTGTCGATATTGTCCTCATGTAAATTTGCGCAAAGTTAATATTCAAGAGCATGAAAAAATGCACGGGGTAAGAGAAAAGGCGTCTACAAAAGGTAACGAAATCGAACATCACTGTTCCGAATGTAACTACGTGTGCAATAATGCGGGAGTTCTCTCTTCACATTCCAAAGTTCATCAGGGTCTATACGGCGAAATACACTGTCTTGTCGATCATACCAAGTCGGATGATGAACAAATACGAGAGCTCAGTCGATTCATAAATTACAATGCAAGCACCCATCAAGACATCGAAACCATTAATGTCGACGAAGACGTTTGCGAAGAAACGAGCATAGGAAATGAGATGGTAAAAGGGGAGGTTACACTTTATTTTTGTGAGCACTGTCCAGCACGTTTTTTCAAAGAAAACGAATATACAATACACTTTAGGTTTCACATGGTACGTCTTTACTACAAGTGCGAATATTGCACATACACTGCGAGACAAAAACACTTCTTATTAGCGCATAACAAAGTGCATTCCTACGAGTATCAAGAACGAACGAAGGAGATACAAGATTGTTACAGTACAAGTCCTAACCATCCCCAACCGAGAATTGGCGCTATAAACCAAAACGGTCAAATTATCTGGATAGTTACCGAAAATAACTACCAAGGAAATACGGAGCAATACGAAATTGACCTCGACTCTCCTAGTAATAATAATAAAAGTTCATCAAATGTGCCCCTGTCTGGCACGGAATTATTTCAGCAGCGCTCAGAAGCGCAGCAGAAGCAGGCAGGCAAAATTATAATACGTCCGAACGATCATTTCCCCCCCAATCCCTTACCAATCGATCCCCAATTTGGCACTTTGATGCACGGAAATCCGAAATTCATCTATCCGACATATCTGAAAAATGGCCGTATGAAAGAAAAACGCTATAAATGTCACAAATGTCCGAGCGCGTTTGAAAAACGAGAGCAGTACAAGGTGCATTTGAGTCTTCACGGTGCCAAACAACGGTATAAATGTGACCATTGCGACTATTCCGTTAAATACTATGCAAATTATGTGCAGCACCTCAAGAAGCACCAAATGAACGCGGACGCACAAGCCGCGAAAAAGGCGGAAGACTTATCAGAGGACAACGACGAGAACGAGGAGGAGGAACTTATGGAAGTTAGCAACGTGAGGTCGAGCAAAAGCATTAATGCGAAAAGCCGTACTGTCGCCGATCGTCAAGCCATTATGATTACTAACCAAAGAAGAGACAGTGCCAGTAGTAGCACTAAGGAAGTTTCCGCGGAAGAGAAGAAACTGTTCTGGTGTCCCAGTTGTCCCTACACTAATTATCGAAAAGACGCAGTCGATAATCATCACAAGCGACACATAAGTGTCTCCGGACTGAAGAATAATTATACGTGCGAGTATTGCGATTACTCAGTTCCACAAGTTCACTTTCTACGAGACCACGTAAAGTTACACTTTACGTCTAGTAAGGTAAATGTCGCAGATGGTTACATGATATGTGATAACATGAAACTATCGACAACTAAAATTGTTAATGGAGAAGACGACGAGGGGGAAAAAAGCGAGGAAACCGACGATAACGAAGAGTGCATCTTTGAAGATACGGGCGGACCAATGGACGATAGTGGTAGATTTTTGCCTAATATAGAAGACAAGCTTATTCAGCGATTGAACAACAACGATGGTGAGAAAATTTTCATTAACAAAGAAACTGGTGAAGTATTAGAAAAGATTGATGTCGATAAAGAGGGTACGTCAGATTTTTCTCTGATCAAATTTACCGATAATAATTTCTCGGCCAGTCAAAGTTGTAGTGATATATAACTTATTATTTAATTTAATTTTTTGCGATCGGATATTTCATTGGGGAATGTGTCGTATTCGAAAGCATATGTTTAAATGTATTGTACAAATTAATTAAATATCTAATGCCTTCTAAAGTATTTTTGCAAAGTATTTTTGCACTTTTAGATGAGTAGTTAGTGATGAGTACAGAATAATTCCTTATGTATTATATAGTACATTATTTGTTATTTCTAATAGTGTTTTCTTTTTTTTTTATTGTATATTTGTATGGGTTATAAACAATGCCAAAGCATCTAATGCCAAATGCCATGTTTCAAATTGTATTTTTATTTGAAAATTAAATGCAATCTGTTTTATTTTGAGAACATTTTTTAAAAGTGCATCCTTCTAATTACGACAGGTTAATTAAATCAATCAAATTAATTAATTTAATCACAATATGGGATCTCGTGTGTAAGTGGTTTTAATTCAAATTACCTACCTAATTAACTACCTCTAATTATTTTCATTTTTTTGACATAATTAATAGCTACCGATTAGAATTTTATCTCTTAAAATGATGAACAATTACCTACTTTATTACCATTCTTTACAATAATATCTTAAAAGTTCTGATGGGTTGGAATCTACGCGAATAATTTTTGCCTTATACAGAGTTAACAATTAAGTATTTAAAAAATCCGATACAACTGAATACCGAACGGTCCTTGAGATCTTCACGCAATTATCATTTTTGCAACACCTTACCAGCCCTTTCACACGAACCGTTTTTTTGTGGTTCACTGGACAAATATCAAAAACATTTATTCTACTTTATATGAATCGTGAATTAACAGCTTAAATGAAGTGTACAACTGAACGACTGCAGCAAATTGTATGTAAATTTCTTACCGGAGCAAAGTAATAAGGACAAGTGTGAACGAGTCCATAAGCCTTCATGTGTTTCTAATAGACGCTCCGTTTTTTTCACCGGTCCGGTGACGGATCAAGTAGACCCATCCGTTGGAGCCTTACCGATTTTTTAACGGACATTGATACGTGTTAATGCTCATATACAACTTAGAGGTTTCGACAGTATCCGGTAATTTCATCGGTCCGTTAAAAAAACGGATCGTGTGACAGGGCTCTCAATGGGGGGAGTTGAATCACCGTCAATATCGCTGAGAACTATGCCCTTATTATCTAATTCCTTTAACAAGGGTTTACACTTTAATTGCGGAATTGATTCACAAATTTAAGGGGTCGAGTCTGTTCCACCAGATCAGCATAGCTTTTAAAACACATTAGTTTTAGAATTTTTTCAAAATGTGATAATTTAAGTATGTAATTTCTCTGGAAATGAAAGGTCGTGACCGCGATTCATTTTAGAGGATTTGTTTAAACGTTTATTGAGCGAAATTACGAGTTGCGATTTCTAAAAGTGACAGCGTGACAGTTCTCATTTACTACCTACTACTTACTATAATAATGTCCACATTATTAACCACTTTGTGAACAACTGTCAAGAAAGCCTCCTTTACAGATTTTTTTTATTTCAACAACTTCCACAGTTCTACTGTCTCATAAAGTTTCCATAAAAAAGTGCCTCACTGTATTATAATAATAAAGTTATTTAAAATATTTATTAAAAAGATGTTTCGTGTCGAATATAAAAATAAAGTACCACATACATTACAAGCGCCCTATACACTTATCGTCAATTAAAATTGAGCAAAGAAATTCTTTATCCCTTAATATAGCTTCCACTTCATCTTCGTCCCATTGCAACGTCACTTTTCGCATCCTCGGTTCTTTTTTACCCATAACATGTATAATACCTTGCGTTTCTATAAGAGAACATATTCCCACAAATTCACTTTGATCCACGGACACTAAATTTTTTTTTAAACACACTCGTTTGTAAACATCGTACAATTTCCCGATCGTAATATTTTTATCTCTCGCCTTTTTGACAATCAACAATATGGAACAGAGCACAACTCTTTGATGCAAAGGAAGTGTTTGATTAGAATCATCGTCCAATTTCTGAGAAGTGCCGTACACGTTATTCAAAACACTCATCACTTGTTTCACATCCACAACTTGCAAATTTTCCTTCCCACCACTTTTACCTTCTTGTTCGGCTATTTCTAAAACTCGCCTACCTATATCCAAAGCGCGACGAATATCCCCAGAGACCGCTGCCACTTTTGCCGCCAACATCTGGATAGCAATCGTTGGAAATATTCTCGACGAATCTCTCAAGCGTTCTGTTAATATTTCGATTATTTGTTGCTTCGTGTAAGGACTAAAATGCAACAACTTTGGCTTTAATTTGCAATGCATTTGTAGGCGAGGTAAAATTCGATCAACCATATCTAAGGCGTTGGCAATCCCTATCAGTATTAATTTGCAGTTAACTTTTGCAGGCCATTCGAATATAGTATACAAAACTGTTTGGTTTATGCTATACAGCTGATCCATTTCGTCAAGCACTAGTAGCACCATTTCCGTAGTCCTAACAAAGTGGTGTTCCACTGCATTTATGTACTCCTTTTCCGTTTTACAGCTTCCTTTGATTTGCAGGTCTTTGAATATTCGCTCGTAAATGGCACGTGGAGATTTTATCCCGGTGCAGTTGACACAAACTTTCCTTATATTGCAATTTGTTAGTTCTTCAAGTATTATCGCTACGGATGCGGTTTTTCCGGTGCCTGGTGGTCCGCTAATGTACAAACTTCCTGGTTTACCTTCACTCACACAGTTATTAATAAATGCTGACAAATCTGCTAATTCTTTTTTCCTTCCTGGCATTTCCGTTGGAACAGTAAGATGTAAAGCCTTTCGCGCCGTTTGAAATTCTTTTTGAGGAGTTTTCGAATCACTCACATCTAATCTGTTAAAGAGACAAGAAGAGGCGAGAGGATCCAAATTTTGTATCTTTCTTTGCTTTGGGGGTGTAACATCGAGGGCTGAAAGCGGTTGAGATTCTTCCGAATTCACGCTGCATTGTCTTTCAGAACTTTGTATTGAAGATTTTAGCATGATTATTGTGCTGGCAAGTGGCGTACCTATAACTACATAAATATCCAATTACAAATTAAATAAAATAACACCAAAAGAAACTAATAACACGTAGAAAAACAATGAATTGCATGGGTTATGTTTTTACATTTGGCGGGAATCACCTTATGCTAAATTAGTCCACAGATCTCCCTACAATACGCATGCGAAAGAAACGTCAAAACTGCTTATAGGTTAGGTAATTGTGAAAAATGCATATACAGGGTGGTGCCTAGCGCGACGCAGCATAGGGATTTCAATGCTAATTTCTTTATAGTCAATAGCTTCCCTAATTATTTTAGAGCAACGTTGATTCGTCACTACTGTGCGCACATTCGCGTACGGCTGTGCAAGATTCAAATGGGGTCAGTTATATGCAACAAGCAACAACCCTGTCTCTCTATTTACTATATGTATACATGATCTTTAATCATATTCTTTAATACAACTCTGTGGAAAAATCATATATATGTATATGGGAAAAATGCGTTTCTTTCGCATGCGCATTGTAGGGAGCCCGTTGGACTCTTTACTATTCAGCTTAATTCTGTGTTTGCGACGCGTTGCCAACTTTCTCCCGAATAAAAGACTGTTTAAGTGTTTAGTCGCCATTTGGTTTCTGATTATTTATGGGTTTCTGATAAATATTAGTCGCAAATCGTTCGTTATTTCAACAGTTCTAATCCCTCCAAGAAGTTATGACTACTGCTGCACGTCCAACATTCGAACCTGCCCGAGGAGGGCAGGGCCGAGGAGAGAAAGATTTGAGTGCAATGTCAAGACAGTATTCCAGTCGAGACTTACCGGGACACACCAAACTAAAATACAGGTATGGAGACTTAATTGCTGTTAACTAAAACCCTTTATGATTGTTCTATGTTTAATAGAGAACACGGACAAGGCACCATAGATGAGAACAGAGCTCGTGATTTTCGTAAAGAATTAGAAGAACGGGAATCTAAAAGATCGCGCACACTGGGTCAGGGCGATCACAATAAGCGTTTAAAATTGGACCAGCTACCCGCCGCTAGTCTTGATGCAGATGATCCCTTAGATGAAGAAGAGTCTGACACTTCAGAAGATGAAGATGATATGGAGGCACTTTTGGCAGAATTGCACAAAATTAAAAAGGAAAGGGCCATGGAGCAGGCGAAAAAGGAAATTGAGAAGAGACAAGAGGAGGAGCGTATTCGAATGGAAAATATATTGAGCGGAAACCCGTTACTAACACACTACTCGTCAGGATCATCTAAAAGTGACCATAAGGTTAAAAGACGTTGGGACGATGATGTTGTGTTTAAGAATTGTGCTCGCTCGGAGCCCGAAAAGAAGACTAATATTTTCATTAACGACTCTTTGAGATCAGATTTTCACAGAAAATTTATGGAAAAGTATGTAAAATAATTTCAGTTTGTATTTAAAGTACCTAGTTACATAAATGTCTGTCTGTATGCTACAACATTAAATTGATTAAACTTTGCAAATGATAAATTAGGTTTTATTGATAATCTGTTCGTTTTATTACAACATGTATGGTGAAAGTAATGCACAAAAACTGTTAAATGGCTCATATTTCACAATTTTAATATTTATTTCTTAAGCAACACAATAGTTTTAAGGGAACACCATATGTACTGTGTTTTTGTCAGATATTGAACACATTGTTTTTTTGTTAAGGTTTCGTTAATTTAGAGGTATCTAAATTTAAAGTGCAAAAGATTAAGGTACGTTTATGTTGGAGCTGCAATGAACGATACTAGTGATTACTAGCAAAGAAAATGATGTTACTGTTATTTTATATGCAGGTGTATATATATATTGGAGTGCAGTGTTGAGATATGCTTCGCAACCATCAATGAAGAAAGCTCTAATATAAACGACTGCATATGAAACACTGAATATGATTTTCTTTGCTTCGCTAATATCGTCGCTCTTATCGCAGCTCCAACATAAACGTACCCTTAGCCAGACAAGCATACACACAGGTTTTGCTAATTTTTTGCATTTTTAACACCATGCATGTTTAAAATAATAATTTAAGAAAGAGAAAAAAGCTTAACAACTTAAACTATACAGGGTGGTGACATGCGTAACGCATCATAGGGATTTCAATGTATAGTATATTAAGTATGGAGAACGGTAAGGGATTTTTACCGTTCGAAGACAATTGTTTGGAGGAGGAGCGAAGCGACGACTCCAATTATTGTCTGAGAACGGTAACCCTTAACGTTCGACGTGCTTATAACATTTTTTTCGCGATCGAAATTAAATTTATGCAACCAATATAAATATGCACTAAGAAATTAACGAGCAGAATAAATCGAAATGATCGAAGTGGTATGGTGTATATCACTAGGTAACCGCAGTTTATTTGTCAAAATTGAAGTTAATAATTTCATAAAAATGTGCATGTGTCTGATGTAGTTTACTAGCTTTGAACTTCCTTTATGACTTTATGAGCGTCTTGCTATAGGAAACAACAGCACAAATTGTACGTTTAATGTACCTAACAATAATTAAAGATTAAATGTAATGTAAGACTGTTGATTTTTAAAAAGGCGTCGGTAAGTATTTTTGCTGTTCTGTTTTTAGATCGGTAAGTAATTTTGACGTCGTCGTAATCATAGCAACTGGTAAATTCTACCTACTGTCATGGAACACCCATGGTAAATAGTCAGAAATGACCGATCGCGCAAAAAATATTTTTTGCAAAAATGTATTAAGGTTTTTTGTAGGAAAAATTTTTTTTGCGTCAATCAACCGTAGTAGTTTTCAATTTTTTGCATAATAAAGACGGAAAATTGGAAAAATAGAACTATCTTTTTCAATAATCTGTGATGCCATGGAATTTTATAATACAAATAAGATTGATGAGCGTAAAAAAAATTTTTCTACAAAAAACTTTAATACATTTTTGCTCTAAAATAATTTGGGAACCAATAATCGCATGTTATGAATTTTACATTGAAATCCCTATGATGCATTACGCAAGTCACCACCCTGTATAATTAATATTATCACTCCTGTCTCCCTCCTCCGCTACACTTTCTATTTCTAATTACGTGTCACATGACCTATGCTTTAATCTGTCATTATGTCAGGCCTATATATATTTGCCTATGTTGTCAACACTGAATGCCTGTATATATCTTAGATGTATTGTTTGTTGTCTACTTTAAGTAAGATCCACTTCCGGTATATGACCCTGTGGTGGCAAACAAAACGTTTTTGATTGGATGCTGGAGGCGGTAAAACTAGTTTTGTTTATCGTTCTCTTCTCTCTGAAGTGGTTTTTAGTTAGTGCGTTGGTGCAAGTCGCAACTTTAATTTATATTAATGAACTCAATTAGTATGAACGGATTCTCGCTAAATGTTTATTATTTTTTTATTAGTATTTACGTTTGTTCCGCGTATTCTCCAGCGGGTTTGTATATCGATAATGGATTAGATCAGACCATAATTGATCGGGCTATGAGTACACAAGAAAAGCATGAAATGGAACTTGAAATTTTAAATTTATTGGGACTACCCAATCGTCCCAGGCGAGGTATAAATGCGCCACTACGAAAATCGGCACCGAGATTTTTGATGGACGTGTATCGATCATTAATGGAAAAGGACGAAGAGGGCATTGGTAGAGTTGATAGAAGTGCAGATTTATACATCAGCGGTGAGGAGCAAACTGCGATTGACGAAAGCGACGTTATTATGACATTCGAGAGCAGTAAGTGATGATTTTTTTGACAAGTTCTAGTTAAAAATCATCTAGGTCATCACGTGAGTGGTGTTCGCCATGAGAGAGGCAAACGTCTGTGGTTTAATTTTACCGAAGTTCCTATCCAGAATGAAATTGTGGGTGCCGAGTTACGTATATACCAAAATAATATAAATAATTCCATGCATTCTAACGTTTCATATACAGTAACAGCATATCAGCTCATTAACTCTGAAGAGGGGTAAGTTTTTGTATAGGGGTGGATCAATATATGTTTGCTTCTTAATTCTGTTGTAGAGAGAGGGAGTTGGAGTACATAATTGCAGTGAATACAACTGAAGATTTTACTGGATGGTTAGAGTTAAACTTGACAAACAGCTTATCTACCTGGGTGGCATTCCCCAACTCAAATAAAGGTCTCTATTTATCTGTCCATCCAGCAGAAAAGCCAGGTAGGGTGACTCATTCTAATTGAATTCTTGGAAGCTTAAACACTATACAGGGTGTCCAATTTTCGAGTGCCACTATAGGGATCACCTTAAGAGGTAGAAATTTGGTATTTAAATGAGTGCAAAGTTGCGAATTTTCGTGATGAATAATAATCTGAAAAGAAATTTAAAATATCTTCAATATAGTTTGGAAAACATTGCAAAAAAGCCACAATTTCTGATTTTCGTTTTTAATTTTTTCATGATAAACTAATATTGTACTAGACATTTAATGATTAACACATTATTCAGATACTTTTTAATAGAGATTTCGAATATGGCATCTCACTTTTAATAACGTTGTATCGGTGTAAAGAGAAAAAAAGACGTAATCTGGAAAATGTGGAAATTCAAAACGGCGCCCATAAGAAAAACTAAAGTTGCCACATGTTTCTTCGTCATCTTAAAAGTTATTAAACATGGGATGCCATATTCGAAATCTCCATTAAAAAGTGTCCGAATAATGTTTTAATTACAAAATGTCTACTACGACTATAGTTTACCATGAAAAAATTGAAAACGAAATCTGGATTTTCGTTTTTTTTGCAATATTTTCAAGACTATTAAAGATATTTCAAATTTCTTTTCAGATTACTATTCAGCACGAAAATTGGCAACTTTGCCCCCATTTAACCAACTCTCTATCTCTTAAAGTAAGGGAGATCCCCATAGTGGTACTCGAAAAATGGACACCGTGTATAGGTAATATATGATGATTAAAATAATTTTTTTTCTTTGAGCCAGCACGTGAAATTAGACCGGAAGATATCGGTTTGGTAACCATAAAAGGAGACGATGAAACTCAACCATTTATGGTTGCGTTTCTTAAGGCCACAAATCATGTTAAAACGCGAACAAGTAGAGAAATACGGAGGGTTCGTAAAACTGATTATCCGACATTGATGAAAAATTCTGGTGGTGAGTATAAATTTTGATTTTTAATTGCCATAAAAGTGCCTCTATACCACATACCAATTCCATATGTAGAAGTGGTGGCGACACATGACTGGAGAAGTTGCAAAATTAACACTTTGTATATCAGCTTTAAAGATTTAAAGTGGCAGGTCAGTAAATCACTTCTTGAATTGGGCTTTAGTACGAATATTATTTTATAGGATTGGATCATAGCACCTGACGGTTATGCGGCCTATTATTGTGCAGGAGAATGCAATTTCCCATTGAATTCCCATATGAATGCTACAAATCACGCAATTGTGCAGACGTTGGTGCATTTAATGAGTCCATTGAAGTATCCCAAACCATGCTGTGCACCTACAAAGCTCACACCAATATCTGTATTATATTTTTTGGATGAGTCGAATGTTATACTTAAGAAGTACAAGAAGATGGTTGTTAAAAGCTGTGGTTGTCATTAGTGTGCTCTGTAATAATTTGTAAATAGGATTGTATATAATAAATTTTTATCGTTTTAGTCGACAAATTAATGTTGCAGTCACATTTAAAACCTATATACATACCTAACATACTTATAGCAGACAAAGCTAACTTAACTTGTTTATTAAAAATAATCATTATTATTTTGGAATTTATTTGTATATTTCACAATTTATAAAATATTTCTTTCATTGAAGACAAGGCGCCACAAATAGTAATTAATAATTGTTTATAGTGTTTATACCAAAATGCGATCATTGAACTTAAGGGTTCCATAGACTGCCGATTTTTTCGTCCCATTTGCACTACGTGTAAAACGGTACGATTTACTCTTGAAACATCGGTGAGTACGATTTATTAATCTTGAACCGTTTGCTTCTGATTAATGATTGCGTCCCAATTTAGGTTAGCTAAAACATCGGTTCTTTGGTACAAATAACAACGGTAGTGGTTTCCGTTATTATAACTTCTAGAGAGGTTTCTAGCGAGCCGATAACACTGTCGAGGTGTACATATACCACCGTAAGTCGGACGTACGGTGGTAACACATCGACAGTGCAATCAGCCACTGGCGAGAGAAATCTTGATGGGCTAGTGTATTCCCGCCTTTAGGTAGCGCTCATGAAGCACTTTGGCTGTTGAACGCACCCATCGTCGTAGAGAGTTGCAGCATCCACGGCTATCCGAATTGTCACAAACAGCCGTGAGGCGATGGTGAATGACATTTAAAACATCAAAACAGAGCAATAGAGGGAGCATGATTTGATTGTTAAATTTTCTTTATTTAGAATGGATTGTATGTTTGAAAATTGTTTGACAGAATGTTGTCTGGAAATCGAAGACATACCACAACAAACGAAATATCCTGTATGGATTTTGGGGAAAAAGTACAGGGCAATCGATGGTGAACCTCTTTAAATGTACTCCTGTCCTTCTCAGTGATCACATTTTCAGATCTCGGTAGAATAAGAAGGGACATTCTCACACGATTGTGGTTTACCTATCGTAAAGGATTCATACCGATTGGTGGCGGAGATGGTTTAACAACAGATAAAGGATGGGGCTGCATGCTAAGATGTGGTCAAATGGTCCTAGCGCAAGCTTTAGTGGATTTGCATCTCGGCCGTGACTGGTACTGGGAGCCAGAAACCAGAGACGTAACCTATCTAAAAATTCTGCAAAAATTTGAAGATCGCAGGCAGGCGCCTTTTTCGATACATCAGATTGCGCTGATGGGAGCATCGGAGGGGAAAGATGTCGGACAATGGTTTGGTCCTAACACTATTGCGCAAGTTTTAAAGTTAGCTTATTTATATAGAAAAATGTAAAAATTGCGCATATTTCGTTTTAGAAAATTAATTGTGTACGACGAGTGGAGTTCGGTGGTAATTCATGTTGCTTTAGATAATACAGTTGTAATTAATGAAATCAGTAAGTCGATTGATTGATCTACACAAATTTAACTTGTTCCCACAGAACAGCAATGTCTCCAATCGGATGCCATTAATATAGTACAAAATGGATGGAAACCGCTGCTTCTTGTAGTGCCTTTACGTTTAGGACTTAATGAAATTAATCCAATTTACATCGCCGGCTTACAAGTTACATATCTACACACAATTATTTCATGTAAAGAACTCATTTTGTTTGCTTTTAGGCATGTTTTAGCTTTAAACACAGTTTAGGTGTTATTGGAGGAAAACCAAATTTAGCTTTATATTTCATTGGATGCGTAGGCGACGAGGTAATTTTTTTAGATCCACACACAACCCAAAAATCTGGGTTGGTGGAGAATAAAGAAACTGACGATGAAATTGAAATGGATATTACGTATCACTGCAAAAATGCTTCTAGAATCAATATTCTTGCCATGGATCCGTCGGTTGCCCTTGTAATACACCTCCATAGCAAGGTGTATTTCAATTATATTTATTTTCATTGTAGTGCTTTCTATGCAAAACTGAAGTGGAATTTGATGAGTTATGCGAGTGTATTCGAAAAGAAATTGTGACTGATGAAAGGCAACCCTTATTTGAACTTTGCTTTGATAGGCCGAAAGAGTGGTCACCAGTGGATGATGGAGCGGATGATGCGATAGGACTGGCTAGTAGTGTAGGTGAGTGTTGTGTCACATAATAAATTATCTAATAAATATATAATAATTGTTTTAGAGTTTGATTGTTTAGATCGTCAATATGATTCTGAAAATGAGTTTGAAATTCTTTAATTGGGTAAATGTCTTATTTCGTACAATGCTCAAATTACATACTCTGAGCGTTCATTTGAGACACATTCTATTTCGTTCGCTTGAAATCCCAGAGTAGCAATTTATACAATCTACCTGTAAATGATTTTGTAAATACTTTGTATGTATAGTTTTGTTTAATTCTTGGTACAGTGTTTTTAAATAAATATTTATTTACGCGTTGGAAATTATTCGTAAAACGCCCAGAAACGAGGATGATATAAAGTTCGCAAAGAGCTTTAATTTACGTGAACAAGCAAGAGAGTGGCCCGGTGGATAAGGTCATGTCCACATGGCGATCCAATGCACAGAGGCGGATCTGGAACAGATATCTAGTTAGTTTTCAGTTTTGGCTCACCCAATACCCGAAGCTAAACTAGCAATCATGGTAGACGCATCGAACATAGCGCTTGGTCCAGTCGTCCAATAGGCAGTGGGAGGCCATGGGCAGCCCCTCAGTTTTTTTCGGAAATGCGTACTGTCCCGCAACATCGATACAGCGCATGCGACAAGGAGTTGTTGGCAGCGTACGCAAGCATTATCTAAACACTTTCGACCCATAATAGAAGGCCATCCGTTCACATTATTTACCGCTCACATATGACTACTGACAAAAACCAGAGAAGGCATCTCCAAGACAACAGAGAGACCTCGATTTAGTGTTCCGATACACCACAGATATTCAACATACATCGGGTAAAGATAACGTGGTAGCGGACACACTTTCGCGAGTGGAACAATTATCAAACCAAACGTGCATTAGCATGCACTGGCGGGCTAAACATTGCCTTTGGAATGATAACATGGATGGCTATAATATGGACATGTTGATGTAATTCCCAAATTATTTTTGGTGGGGTGTTGGAGGGTTTGTTATTAGCACTTTAACTATGCTTTTACGAGTGGTCAAACAAGTGGAATCAGATAACTAAGTGTAGGTACATATAACTTTTCTGTTGGCATTGGCGTTGATCGTAACTTTTAATAGGTAGATACTTTGCGTTGTATTAATCCAACTCACATAAATAGAAACGCATCCGGTTGAACGAGCGCAGGTTGATCGCCGGCAAGGCACAGGGCCGGTTCGTCAATCGCCGCTTTGGTCATTGCCGGTTAGGGAATCGCCGGTTAGTAGTGTACCGACTGACGTAATACCAAGGTTCGGTACAAATCCGAAACAAAAAATTATCATACCGCGATTCGTGTTGTTGGATTTTTTTGAGTAATAGCAAATAAACCGAAGGATTATTCAATAGTGCGGTGGCGCGAGAAAGTCCCTTTCGAGGCGCACTTTCGGACCCACGGGGGCGTTCAAGATTCGAAACGGTTCGGCCGCCAGGGCCCTAAACGTGTTTCGACACGTATTCCAAAATAACTTCGGAACCCGATAACGGATCGCGCTCGATTGGCCGCCGTTCGATAGGGGAATAACGGGGCCGCACGGGGATGTTTATTTCGTCTCGAACGGACCATAAATAACGTCGGAAATAAATTTCGAAAACGATCAAATACGGACAGAAACACCCAAGTTCGGCTCGGTAGCGGTAGGGTTACGCCGGCGAGTTAATCTATCGTCAATCGTGGGCCGGAACACGAAAGCCACATTCAAGACGCACCTACGGACCCCTTGGGTCACCCAAGATTCGAAACGGTTAGACCCCTAGGACCCTAAACGTTTTCGGACACTTATTCGCAAAAAACTCGGGAACCGGAAAACGGATCGCGCTCGTTCGGCCGCCGTTCGATAGGTGAATAACGGGACCGGACGGCGCAGTTTACGGTTTTTCAATCGATCCATAAATTACGTCAGAATTACAGTTCAAAGTCGACCAAAAGTGGAAAAAAAACCCCAAATTTGTCCGTGGTGCGTTAGGTTAGGTTAACACTAGCGAGTTAATAGATTATCAATTTTAGGGTGGAATACGAAAGCCACATTCGGGGCGCGCCCACTGACCCTTTGGGTCATTCGAGATTCGAAACGGTTCGGCGGCCAGGGCCCGAAACGTCACCGGGCACCCATTCCCGAATAACTTCGGAACCCGATAACGGATCGGGCCCAATCCACCACCGTTCAATTGGGGAATCACGGGGCAACACGGCGCAGCTTACGGTTTTACAATCGGTCCATAAATAACGTCGGAAATACAGTTCAAAAACGAGCAAATTTTGTCAAAAATTTCGACAATTTTTTTCTCGAAGGCCGTTAGGGGCGGAGAGGAACGGATCGCATATTAACGACGTCCTCGGCAAGGGTAACGATCGATGAAATTTTGAAAAAAATCGAAGACCCAAAATTTTTTCGAGACGTAACAAAGGGGGGACCAAGGGAAAACGAAAAAAAAACTTTTTTATTTGTGAACTGATTTTCGATTACCAAACGTCGATCGATAGATCTCGTCGAAAGAATCCCCGACCAATCTTAAACCATTCTGGGTCATATATAAATAAGAAATTTACGGCTTGGGTTAGGATCGCCGAAAAAAAATAAAAAATAAATTTTTCCTAGGTTAGGTTAGGTTAGGTTAGGCTAGGTTAGGTTAGGTTGGGTTAGGTTGGGTTAGGTTGGGTTAGGATGGGTTAGGTTGGGTTAGGTTGGGTTAGGTTAGGTTAGGTTAGATTAGGTTAGGTTAGGTTAGGTTAGGTTCATCATCGGTCAAATGCTCGCTAGTGAATCGAACTGGAACAGAATAGCAAGCTTCGTCGTCCACGTCATAGAGACGAGGGAATGCGAGGCGCGGCGGAGAGGCCAGTAAAGGCCAAAAGTTACTATGGCGACATCTAAGGGGTGAACACCTACCCCGGCCGATCGGCATAGCGAAGGATGCGTTTGCGATGCCCTATGCCGACTCCTAAGGCGGAAGTGAGGAAAGGGTTTTAGTGGGTAAACCATACCTAGATGGAAGGGAGTCCCACACACCCCCCGCTATAGAGCCAAGCGGGGCAGCCTTTAAAAGGTTTCCCAAACCTCGGAAAAAAAAAAAAAAAAAAAAGGTTAGGTTAGGTTACGTTAGGTTAGGTTAGGTTAGGTTAGGTTAGGTTAGGTTAGGAAAAAAAAAAAAAAAAAAAAAAAGGTTAGGTTTTTCCTAGGTTAGGTTAGGTTAGGTTAGGTTAGGTTAGGTTAGGTTAGGTTAGGTTAGGTTAGGTTAGGTTAGGTTAGGTTAGGTTAGGTTAGGTTAGGCGGTTAGGTTAGGTTAGGTTAGGTTAGGTTAGGTTAGGGTTAGGTTAGGTTAGGTTAGGTTAGGTTAGGTTAGGTTAGGTTAGGTTAGGTTAGGTTAGGTTAGGTTAGGTTAGGTTAGGTTAGGTTAGGTTAGGTTAGGTTAGGTTAGGTTAGGTTAGGTTAGGTTAGGTTAGGTTAGGTTAGGTTAGGTTAGGTTAGGTTAGGTTAGGTTAGGTTAGGTTAGGTTAGGTTAGGTTAGGTTAGGTTAGGTTAGGTTAGGTTAGGTTAGGTTAGGTTAGGTTAGGTTAGGTTAGGTTAGGTTAGGTTAGGTTAGGTTAGGTTAGGTTAGGTTAGGTTAGGTTAGGTTAGGTTAGGTTAGGTTAGGTTAGGTTAGGTTAGGTTAGGTTAGGTTAGGTTAGGTTAGGTTAGGTTAGGTTAGGTTAGGTTAGGTTAACACTCGGGGGTTGTTTGATTTTCGAAAGTTATACATCGTCGGAAAGGCCATTTAAAGACGCGTCGATAGACCCAAAGGGGCACTCAAGTTTCTCAAAAACGTCGGAGTTATGGCCGTAAGTGTTTTTCGAGACATTTGGGGTAATAACTCCGAAAAGTCGAGGTCACATGTCGGGGTCGAGGGGCAATTTCGAAAGCCAAAGAACGCGGCTTTCCAACGATACCTCACACTTTAAGATCGACTCGCGAATAACGAGGGGGCAGCCTCTCAAAGATTGCCAAATTTTGTCAAAATTTTCAAAAAATTTTTTCTCAAAAACCAAAAGGCCGATCGAGGAACGGATTACTTATTTCTTAAACGCCGGTCGAGTAGAGCGCACAAAAAAATTACGGTCCAAATCGCAGACAAAAAATTTTTTTCATAATCATCCCTTGGTCCCCCCTTCCTATTTTAAAAAAAAAACTTTTTTATTTACCGTCCGATTTTCAAAATTCGACCGGCGTTGGATAGATCTCGTCGAAAAAGCAAAAATCCAATCATAAAACGTTCGGGGTCATATATAAACGAGGGCGCTAGAGGGCGATTTAGGGGATGACAAAAAAAATTAAAAATTGACGAAATTTGGCACACACGTTTGTACGGACCTTAGAAAGTCTCCGGTACAACTTTTACCCCTTTACGACCAAAGGGAAGGGTAATAGGGGGTGATAATAGGTTAGAGGTTAGGTTAGAGGTTAGGTTAGAGGTTAGGTTAGAGGTTAGGTTAGAGGTTAGGTTAGAGGTTAGGTTAGAGGTTAGGTAGCATTGAAAGCATGCTGCGAAATAAAATTACTATCTGATTAGGAGAATACAAATTCACTACTAAACTTGGATTTATTCTCAGTAGCCGGCTAACATTCAACGTGAGGGTCGTAAAGTTCGGTATTCTGCCAGGAAAACTTGCTACTACAAAACTCAAATCTTAAGGGCGCCAGATCTAGCGAGGTAATAAATCCTCTTGATCAAGGAGGATAGGCTCTTCCAAGCATAGCATAATGAAGGTGAAAAAAACTAGGTATTGTGGCAGAGAGGAATTTAATACGTCTGTATTTCGATTTAAAATTAAATATGATTAGTATGTAACTACAAATTATAATTGTGGTGTGAAGCACGGTAACAATAATAAGAAAAAAAACTAATAGGATTAATTCGTCCACACCGCAAATAATCAACAGTGTCAACAATATCTTACTACGGTAATTAATACGGGTTCTGGATTCGCTAGCTAGCCCCGCACCCTGTTTATATTTGGGCCAAATAGAGGTTCGTACAAATAGCCCTCCCAAACTGAGAACAAAACGAATTTTCCTTCACAGGTAAGTATTATCATGAATGTAATTATTTGTAATTAAATGGTAAGAATTAACTCTTTTGATTTCAGTTTACATAGCCCTTGAAGAGGGTTCATCAACTCAAAGCCACAAAAATTGTAAGTATGCAAATACAGGTTAATTATGACACGTGCCGCTTTCCCGCGCACCGCCGCTTGTTGGGCTCAGAGAGGCAGATAAAATCTGCCTCCGTCGCCTTCGCTCTCG